AGTTGAACGGACGGCTGCGTTATAAACTCTGTCCTTCTGGGCGAGAGCAACAACAGAACGAAGAGAAAACTAAGTAAGGCACAACAGAGACGCCTGAGAATGCATACGGATCCATGTTTCCCGGTGAATTACAGAGGCATGTTTACAACCGATCGTCAGTACTCTTGGAAAGAAAGCAGTTGGAAGTGTTATCATTGAGCATACACTTCAAGCTGCCTCGCAAGATGTGTCAAATTCATATTGAGGCCCAGATCAAAAGATCATCTGTCTAACTTGAACTTGACGATTCAGGAACACTACAACTGGCTTAAACTTAAGCTTGTTGACACCACGCACGGTAACATGATGGCTCCGATTCACCCCGATAAGTCACATTAAAGCATTACGTGATCTGAAGGCCAGAGATGTGTTGGTTTCAAAACCAGACAGGTGTACAGCAGTTGTTGTTATGGATAAGTCAGATTATGAAAACAAGTTGTATGATATCCTGCAGGGTAAATCCAAATTTCAAGATTACAAATGCGGAACCACGGTAACACAAGTCGAAAAGAGCCTGACCAACCAACTGAAATTGTTACTTCAGCATGGTATGATATTAGAAACAGTGTACCATTCCCTTAAGCTCGTGGGTTCATGCACCCCTCAAATGTACGGCCTATCAAAGATCCACTAGGCTTGCACACCATTAAGGCCGATAATGTCTATGTGCAACTCCCCATTGGTTAGTTGACATTTTTGCACCAGTGAGACGAATGATAGCGACCTACACCGTGGAAGGCACTTGATCTGCTTGATTGTGTGCAGAATCTCGATATTACCGACAAGGTTATGTGTTTTATGGACGTAGCAGGTTTGTTCACCAACATGCCATTAAAAGAAACAGTGGATTTCTTGTGCGAATTCATCACGAATAAAGAAAAATAGCTTTGCGAATTCCAGTGAAATACCTCAGGGATTTACTGCTATTATATACAGAAAATGTGCACTTCTTATTCAATGAGCAAGTGTATCAACAGATAGATGGTGTGACTATGGGAAGTCCGCTTGGCCCGGTACTGGCTGACATTTGGCACTAGTCGAGTGGAGGCTTAAATTCTACCTAAACCAGTTGTGCCTATACAGGCGATATATGAATGACACCCCGGTGATTGCCTCAAGTGTAGAGACTGTTCAGTCTCTTCGCAGTGTACTCAACAATGCAGATCTCAAGCCCATTTCACCGAACATGGATAAATGATTAGAAGTCAGGGTAAGCGAACATATGTTTTTGATAAACCATCTTCAGGTTTATAAAATTATCTGCAAATCAAAGTGTGCAGACAGACATTACAAGTCGTTGCTACTAGAGCGAGTTAATTGGATGCTGACAGCGCTGTCTGTTAAGCCACGATAACCGACCGCGTGTGACCTCGTGGGTCAGAGGTAACCGGCCGTTTGGGCCAGAGCAGTTTCAAGCCTTTAGTTAGCTTCTTCTGAACACAGCCGGTTCCTACATCCGGATCGCAATTGCTTCAGCGGCTTCTAGTAGTCGCTTGTGGACGTAGTTCGAGCGGTTCTTTGGGGTCTGATAGATAATTTTGTATGAATCAGGGAACTTTGTGGCGTGCCCTATATCGGTTAGATGCGCGGCTACTGAAGAGTTCGCTGTATTTCCACTTCCAGTTCTAAACCAGACCGGGTGATGTTCCTTCACTCTCTTAGATAGACGCCGTGTCGTACTACTAATGTATTCCGCTCCACAGGAGTGAAAATGTGTAGATACACATTGATTTGGTGTGGACAAGCCTCTTATCCTTTGAGTTTAGCCTCACCATCGGAATGCTACTAAACTGGATTTGCATCTGCGCTGCTAGATAGATGCGTCTGAATGCAAACGAAAGATGACGAGATAGAAGTTCCGTCGCAACCTCGCCCTTCTATGGTAGCTGTAAGAAGATTGGCTTACATTCTACTGTCAAAACTACAGGCTTTTTCTTCCTATGTTCCATGTTGGCTCTGATGAATCTTTCCGGATAGGCATTCTCCCTTCGCACTATACGAATGCATTCCCATTCTTCCTGAAGCGTGTCGTTCGAGCAGATACGTTTAGCTCGGCTCACTGGTGTATTTATCAAGTTCCGTTTAAACCTATGTGGCACAAAGCTGTAGAAATTTTTGTACTGCCTATTCCGCGTACTTTCCCCATAGACGCAGCGCTGTAGTGCACCCCATCCAGTCTACATGGCGACCTCGAGGAAATGAATGTGACTGTTTTCCTCAACTTCGCAGGTGCACTTTATTGCTGGATGGCCTTGGTTGAACATGTTTGTTACTTCCTCGATACTTCGAGACGACTGAAGCAAGACAAAAATGTCGTCTACGTAACGGCAATATAAACCGAGACTTGAGATCGTTGGCTTTAGCTTTCCCTGTTCCAGCATGCACATGAAGACGTCGGCGAGGAACGGACCCAGTGGGGAACCCATCGCTACCCCATCGCACTGCCGGTATAATTCGCCATTGAATATAAACTGAACATTGAACTTGCATCTGAACAATAGTTCCTTTAGGATCACCGTGGGTATGCCAACATTAATGTGGTTTGCATCAACATGTAGGTATAGTTTATAGTCTCAAATAATGGTACGTTGGTGAAGAGTGAAGTAACTTCGAGGGGGCACATAGATTGGAAACATTTACACAATATCCACCAACTCAAAACTATCCTTCACACTATGCACATCAATTCGCTCTCGAATAGGCGTAAGAATCAAAACCAGCCACTGAGCAATCGAGTGAGTGGAGTATTTTTCATATCCAAGACGAAGGGGGTCGTTAGCCTTGTGAGTTTTTGGTAGCCCATAAAGCCTTGGAATAACCGTTCCTACCAGCCGAAGTTGCTCATAAGTGGCTTCGTTGATGTAACCATCGTTTCGAAGCTTTTTAAGAAGACTAACTGACCAAACACTACATCTGACAACCCGCAATTAAATTTTTTGCTTTTGCATAATTCGGTAGAATTGTACAGAAACTTTTCTACTTGATCTTAAGTACAGCCTCTGTCTCACCTTGAGCTAGCAAATAACAACTGTCTTGCTTTTCTGAATGTATTGTTGACGAGACGTGATGCTAGCTCAATAAAACGCTCTGTTTCCAGGACGACCACATAGACAGGCCTATATGAGAACTACAACAGCTTTGCTCCGCTCCAATACAAACGTTGCTTTGTGAAGACGTTCGGTCGAGCTCGTAGAAGATGCATTGCTGACTGTGTGAAGTCGGAATTATCGTTTATCACACAGACATTACGGGCCAATGGATATCCAGAGGCATTCATCAGATTCCACAGTCACCCGAAGGAACGCAAACCAAGAATACTTACTGTGCCTAAAATGGCCGTCAGTTTACAGCAACCCTTCAAAGGCAATGTGCTGACGTCGCAAATTAAACGACGGGTGAACACAGCCATTCGCCCACATTTAACGCCTCCAAACTCTGTCCTATCTGGACAACCAAAAAGCTACCGTTGCCCCCAATCAAACTTACTCAACCGGTCTCTGCCACAACTCATTGCATTTACCAATTCGTCTGTAGCTGCGGAAGCACTTACATTGGCAGAACAGATGATTGTCTGAGTAAGCGGATTTTAGAGCATATTTTGAATCTAATTGCTCTACTGATAGCACAACAAGCAACCGGACAAGGAGCAGCAGACAAGCTGCCTGCATCATCCATCGTTTGGCTACCTAGTCTACCCGCAAGGCAGCGGGGCGAATTCAGGTAATCGCGCTCATTTGGAGCGAGTGACTGATTGCTCAGTTCATACCCCTTTCGTTTGATCGGTTGACAGACACGGGTCCAATCCTCCCCTTACTTTCAGCTTTGCTTTTCTGGCATACATTGCTCCACCGGAGTGAAACGAGGGGCAATGACTTTGTTTATCGGTGAGTCATCCGCCACGTCACAATGTTCTTAAACGGACGTATGTGGCTTTTTATAGGGAGAACACTTGCCAGGCGACAACCCACTAATTCCTGGAACATTACCGCCGAGCTATTTGCTGGAACCGGATAGACCCGAATCATCCGGCCAGTGTCTGGGTGTTCTCCACGCCTGGTTTGCAATGATAAGGTCTTCGCGGTATACTCAGCCCACGCGCGACTGGTGGTTGTCGCGAGGCTGCGAAGTGCCGTTACGGCATACAACTAACACATTATTTTTTATTACCTGGCTGGCACCACGAAGAGGTTGTTCGGCAAGCCGGCCAGAGAGGACATAGCGGTATGTGTAGTTGAAAAACGGGATATGGGGCTATCTGCGATTTGAGGTTGAGCAATGGAGATTGTAAAGCCGATACATATGGCAAGAACCGCGGTCGTATAATCCATGATTCGTCAGTGGGAATGATAGCACCCGGTCGCCCAGATCAAAGTTGTCCATGAGGACTCTATCCCGAGCTTTTGATCAAACATCAAATCTGCTAGACAACAGGTCGATATTAGGGTGTCGAAATCCGGTGACTAAATAGTTGGTTCATATGCCTTTTGCAGACCAACACACCCTTGAGTTACAATGTCATTTGGAGAGAGATTCACAGCAGCACCGACATCGTACCATCAACGACTTTCTTGGCTTTCTATAGGAAGACTGCTTGCCAGGCGAAAGTCCACCACGCCATTGGGTACTGCCTTTGCTTCTTCGTGGCTGTTTATTCTGCAGGCTGATCCCTGCATACCTCGCAGCTAGCAGTCAAAGATGATCACTCAACCATCCTCAATCATAAGGCGCACTCAGTGGTATACAGCTTTTTCACCTTAGGGACCAGCGCCGATCACTTCTATGGCCGTCAGTTTTTTAACCTACATTCGGGACTGTTGTACTTAAAACTAGCTGCTGTAGTTTCAACTTTAAATCCTGAGGGTTTTTATATGATAGAACACACGTGACTTCTCCCCACTCTATATGAATTTATTATCCGTTGACCTCCCTATTTAGCACTTGCTTTGCGCTTTACCATTACAGAACTCCAATTGGTTGCGCCTGTGCCCCATGGATACTTTTACTGGTGTTTCAAACTAATTCACGTACGCGGTGTGATGAACACCATCTTTCACGAAAGGGTAGCCTACACATTTTTTAATCATCCGCTCCCCTCCACAGCAAGAGGGCTCATTATGTGCCCAACATTGCCTGAATGCTTTGCTCCAAGGGCCCTATTTCAACGCCGTCGATCTGGCTGAACTTGCTGCTCAACTTGATCAAGAAGAGAGTGATCAGCTAGGTCACGTGAACAACTCTCGTACATCTCATAACATGAACGAGGAAGGTTATTTCTCCGTCCAGGTAAGTTTCTGATTAGTAATATCTACCTTTCTGGTTCCTGTGCACTCATTTGTGGGATAATTTAACCCTTTCGCACATAAAGGTTATCATAGTGCAAGGCTACCATTGGCTCGTTGCACAGCTACACAGGCGTTTTTCATAACCTCTGATGCATGCAGTCCACTGCAGTGACAATGCCCTGTAGGACAATATTGACAATATTGATTTTTTTATTTTAAATGTTTACACCCCAAATCGATTAAAAATTGTTACATAACTTTTTTATCATCACTCCAACAATTCATGCGCGAAAGGGTTAAAAAGCTGAGATCAGTTAACTCTCACTGAACACAGGAAAAGTGTCTGCTAGCCATTCAATCTTTCCAGGTCAGACCGTGATCAATAAAATATCCAAATGCTCTCTTTCTCTTCCATCAGTACGGAAATTCGATAGTGGAAACCGTTACCGTTACCTTTTGCTTATTTTTTTGCGCCATGTCGTTCTTGGCCCTTTCATACAGCTCTGGCGCTGAAGGATAACAGTAGAGTGGAAAAGAGATCCCATTTTATGACAAATGTACTTATATCAGCTCGTTGCATGCCTTTATTCTCATTGACAACCAGATTTCTGAGTGGTACTCCTAGATAAGAAAAAGCAAGATTCCGATTGGGATGGGGTTTTACAGATCTAGTCTTTTTTGCTCGTTAAGTGTTAGATTATACTCGGTAATGATAATTATCGCCTCACATAATACTGGCTATAGCTGTTTCGTGATTTCAAGGGCGCGTCCGACTTAGTTCATCACTCCGTCTCATTTGACATCATTTATCCAAACGTTATTCCACTTACTGTGGGGACCTATTGGGTACCGTGTACTCCAAAATCACAAGTCTCGTCAACAATTGCGACATGCTATTGGAATCCTTTCCCATAGAAAGGCGTGTTCGTCCAGGCTATCCTATTTCCACCTTTTTGTTTAGTTTTGTTGTAGTCATGTTGCTGTCATGGGGTGCTCCCTTGTGAACTATCTCGGCGCATGGATTGGATTCCTGTTCTGAGAAAAGGTAGGTTGGGTTACGTTGTGCGGTGATGCCATCTTGCTGACTCCACGGTCTCACACTTTGGAACTTTTTTCGGACTCTCTGTTGCAGAATTGCTAAAATTTGTTTAGCCTTTGATCGTCGGTCGATGACCGCATCTGCATTACAGCCTAATGGTCATCCGTTTGCATTCGTTTGAATGCTGGCGAGCGTTGCGGTATCCCTGGCTCGCGCAAAACTGATGGCGGTCGCGTCGCCATGAGCCGTCGATTCGGCGCCCAGATGTGATACCGATGCCTTCCATTTTAGGTAACTTGAAAATCCCCATTTGTGCAAATGAGAACAAAGAGACCACTTGGTGAGCAATTGCTTTCGATGATTCATCGTCAGACCGATACAATCATATATAGGGTTAAAAAAGGGTAAGATCGACATAGTTGATACAATTAACGTAGGGTAAAAATCGAAAACGGGTTAATTAAAAGTTACGGGTTTCTTGACCTTGCGCCATTGATCTCATTATCATCCGCTTTTGCGGGCCAGGGAAGCTGAACAGCCTTAATTAACTTCTGCTGCGAGCATAACGATGGTCGGATTGATCGAATACAAATCGATTCGGCCGTTGCGAGTGTACGGAGACGTTGACCCTTTGACCGGTGCGGCGGAACTCTGTATACTACTCTAAAGTTACGCTCTGGATTCACTTGATGTCCGCTGTCCACAATATGAGCCAAAATAGAGCTACTAATGGCTCCAGTGCCACCTCGACGTAGCCAACGCGGACAGTGTTCGTTTATGCGTTTGGATAGGTGCCGCGCCGTTCGACCGATATACGATGCGCCACAAGCGCATTCAAACTGATAGATAATCATTGAGGCGGTCAGCATCGGCAACTTATCCTTGGTTCGTGAACGAACGAGTGGTTCCGTTGTAAATATGCATTTAAGCTTAGCTGCGGCAAAAGTTGATTTAATCGCACCGGAAAGACTTCGGGTTAAACGTTCTGTAGCCGCGTCCCCTTTGAAAGGCAGGCGTATGAAGAGTTCCTTTTTTTCCACTGTTAACAATGGTACCGGCTTTGGCTTTTCTTCAAGGTTTCTTAAAATAAATCTGTCAGGGTAACCATTTTCGCGTAACACATTCTGTATAAACGTCAACTCCGCGTCTAAGGTGTCTTCAGAGCATATTCGACGTGCTCTCGATGTAAGACAACGAATCAAATTGCGCTTGTATCTCAGGGGGACAAAGCTGTGAAAATTCGTATATTGACCAACCCATGTTGCCTTTCTGTAGATCTGCCGCTGGATGGAGCCATCTAGCCGTCTAGTTAACAGCACATCGAGATAAGGCAGCTGATTTTCGGTTTCCCTTTCGTACGTAAAACGTACTGATGCATGGGCTCGGTTAAAACGGTTAAGGATTTCATCTAAGTTAAAATCCTCATCCATCACAACGAATATATCGTCCATGTAACGATAGTAGTGGCTAAAAGTGGCTATGTCCGCCTGCAGTGCGGTTCTTTCCAACTTTGCCATGAAGATGTCCGCTAATAGTGGACCCAAGGGAGAGCCCATAGCTACGCCATCATTCTGCCGGTAGTACTTGCCGTCAAACAGGAATTGCACATTCCAGGTACAGCGCAACAGTAGACTTTTTAGCTCACGCGTAGGTACACATAATTTCATTGCTGACTGGGTTATATAGTCGCAAATATAATCTATTGTCTCAATTAGCGGGACGTTGGTAAAGAGCGATACGACGTCGAAGGAGAGCATCACTTTGCCGTCGAGTTTAGCATTACGTATACATTCTACGAATTGGAAGCTGTCGCGTAGACTGTAAGTTGCAAGCTGTTTTCGCACCGGTTCGAGTATTTCCACAAGCCACTGAGCGACCGTATGGTAAGGTGAGTTAACCATTTTATCAATGGTTAACTCACCTTACCATACGGTCGCTCAGTGGCTTGTGGAAATACTCGAACCGGTGCGAAAACAGCTTGCAACTTACAGTCTACGCGACAGCTTCCAATTCGTAGAATGTATACGTAATGCTAAACTCGACGGCAAAGTGATGCTCTCCTTCGACGTCGTATCGCTCTTTACCAACGTCCCGCTAATTGAGACAATAGATTATATTTGCGACTATATAACCCAGTCAGCAATGAAATTATGTGTACCTACGCGTGAGCTAAAAAGTCTACTGTTGCGCTGTACCTGGAATGTGCAATTCCTGTTTGACGGCAAGTACTACCGGCAGAATGATGGCGTAGCTATGGGCTCTCCCTTGGGTCCACTATTAGCGGACATCTTCATGGCAAAGTTGGAAAGAACCGCACTGCAGGCGGACATAGCCACTTTTAGCCACTACTATCGTTACATGGACGATATATTCGTTGTGATGGATGAGGATTTTAACTTAGATGAAATCCTTAACCGTTTTAACCGAGCCCATGCATCAGTACGTTTTACGTACGAAAGGGAAACCGAAAATCAGCTGCCTTATCTCGATGTTCTGTTAACTAGACGGCTAGATGGCTCCATCCAGCGGCAGATCTACAGAAAGGCAACATGGGTTGGTCAATATACGAATTTTCACAGCTTTGTCCCCCTGAGATACAAGCGCAATTTGATTCGTTGTCTTACATCGAGAGCACGTCGAATATGCTCTGAAGACACCTTAGACGCGGAGTTGACGTTTATACAGAATGTGTTACGCGAAAATGGTTACCCTGACAGATTTATTTTAAGAAACCTTGAAGAAAAGCCAAAGCCGGTACCATTGTTAACAGTGGAAAAAAAGGAACTCTTCATACGCCTGCCTTTCAAAGGGGACGCGGCTACAGAACGTTTAACCCGAAGTCTTTCTGGTGCGATTAAATCAACTTTTGCCGCAGCTAAGCTTAAATGCATATTTACAACGGAACCACTCGTTCGTTCACGAACCAAGGATAAGTTGCCGATGCTGACCGCCTCAATGATTATCTATCAGTTTGAATGCGCTTGTGGCGCATCGTATATCGGTCGAACGGCGCGGCACCTATCCAAACGCATAAACGAACACTGTCCGCGTTGGCTACGTCGAGGTGGCACTGGAGCCATTAGTAGCTCTATTTTGGCTCATATTGTGGACAGCGGACATCAAGTGAATCCAGAGCGTAACTTTAGAGTAGTATACAGAGTTCCGCCGCACCGGTCAAAGGGTCAACGTCTCCGTACACTCGCAACGGCCGAATCGATTTGTATTCGATCAATCCGACCATCGTTATGCTCGCAGCAGAAGTTAATTAAGGCTGTTCAGCTTCCCTGGCCCGCAAAAGCGGATGATAATGAGATCAATGGCGCAAGGTCAAGAAACCCGTAACTTTTAATTAACCCGTTTTCGATTTTTACCCTACGTTAATTGTATCAACTATGTCGATCTTACCCTTTTTTAACCCTATATATGATTGTATCGGTCTGATGATGAATCATCGAAAGCAATTGCTCACCAAGTGGTCTCTTTGTTCTCATTTGCCTTCCATTTTCTCTGTATAGCTGATCTATGCTGGTGTAACGCTGGGAACGTTTGATAGCTACATTGACAGGGTTGGTTATGTAACAAGTTGGTTCACACATTGCGAGAGCTGGAACTTCCTTTGTGAATCTGCAACACTTCTGGCTCCATTTGGCTACTTCCCTTGATTTTAATGTCCGTGTCTACAGGATCCTTCTGATGGCACTCCTTTTTAACTCAAGACATTTCTCCTTCTGTCCGAAGATCTGAAGCGTATTAAAAGCACTTACGGAATGTTGCTCTTAACGAGTTGCCCCACTGGCTGCACAAGGGAATCCTAGTCGACAGTCCTCAGCTTAATTCATTGGATCGATGAAGTAGACGAAGTGTGCTAGTTTGTTCCGGGTTCAAACACGTACACCAACGCACACTTCCCAGGGAGAATTTTGTCAAGCTTTCCTCAACATCACTATCACTAACAGTGCATC